TAATAACCAGCCATTTTGAGAATTTCTTCATATATATTTTTGGCCATCTCACTGTCACCTTTGACCAAAAGTCTCTTCATATTTTCCCTTCGTTCCCTAATTGGGATGTTTGTTTTTTCTTTGTTGAGGTACTAGAGTTTTTTTAATATATTTCACATATGATCCCTTTATCAGATATGTCATTACCAAACACTTTTTCCCAGTCTCTGGGCTCTCTATTTACTTTGCTGGAGATATTTTTTTCTATATTTACATGGACGGGTTTAATTTTTAGAAGGTCCTGTTCATCCATCTTATCCTCTCCAGGTTTTACATTTTTGGCTGTTTGATGACCTGTTTATGCCATAGATGAAGGTTCCTAAATTTATGCCTGCATCTTCTCTAATGATCTTTCTATTCATATTACACCTAGATTCTTGATCCATCTTGAGTTGGTTTTTGTATTTGGGTTCTTTAGCAAAGCTAAACAACTTTCATGATGTTTACCCAGAAGGGCAGAGGCCACACTGAGGGGCCAATAGCCAGAGACAAACTTGCCTTTGTGCATGATTGAAGGAGGCTATCCTGATGAAAAGAATCGTATCCTGAGGGTTCTTGAGCCTAAATTGTAGCTTATTACTTCCCTAATAAATCCCACAATCCAGTAGACTGGTTGCAAGGAATTATCAACCTAGCACAGAAGTAGAATGCTGTAAGTAGTATGACTAAGGTTGTCTTTCAGCTTACCTGTCCATGTTGTCATCGTTAGGAGTCATTGAGTACTACTCATAGTGACCCTATGAACAACAGACCTAACCCCATTTTATCCTGTGCTGTCCTCACTATCTCTGATAAACTTGATTCCATTGCTGCGGTCACAATGTCAATCCTGATGGTGTTCTTCCTCTCTTTCACTAACCCTCCACCTTTCCAAGCGTTGTATCCTTTTCCAAGGAAAATCTTTCCTAGCAACATAGGCAAAAGTCATCTATGCCTCCAAGAAGTACTCTGGCTGCAACCTTTCTAAGACATACCTGCTCGTTCTTTTGGAAGCTTAGGGGATATTCAGTACTACTTATTCAGCACCACAACTCAAAGGTGTCAATTCTTCTGCCATCCTTGTTCATCATTCATTTCTCAGATACATAGCAAGTAATTTAAAAGACCATGACCTGAATCAGGCACACCTTAACCTTCAGAATGACATCACTGCATTTGAGTATTTTGGAGAAGTCCCTGACAGCACCCGCCCAAAGTAATACAAGTCTTTATCTCTTGACTGTTGGTACCAAGGTATTGATTGTGGATCCAAGTAAGATGAAACCATCAACAGTCTCAATCCTGTCTCCATCTATCATGATCTATCATGATGTTGCTCACTGGCCTAGTGGTAAGGACCTTTGTCTTCTTAAGATGCACTGCATATTGATGCACTCCAAACTTCAGATCCTTTTTATTTCAGCAAGCAAGATTGTGTCATCTGCATAGCACAGGTTGTTGATGACTCTTCCTCTGATCTTGATGTCACATTCTTCTTCATAGATTCTGGCTTCACAAATTGTTTGCTTAGCATACAGATTTAATAAGTATGGAGAAAGGCTACATACCTGACATACACTCTTCCAATTTATACAGTGTTTCCTTGTTCCAGTCAGATAACAGCTTCTTGGTCTAGATATAGATTCACCTGAGTACAATTAAGCATTCTGGGATTCCCTTTCTTCTCAGTGTTAGGCATAGTTTGTTGTGTTCCACACAGTCAAAAATGCCTTTGCATAGTCAATAAAACACAAATCTTCTGATACTATCTGCTTTCAGCCAGGATCTATCTGACATTAGCAATGATATCCTTAGTGCTACTGCCTCTTCTAAATTCTGCTTGAACTTCTACAAGTTCTGTGTCAATATATTGTTTCTAACATTTTAATGATCTTCAGTAGTATTTTGCTTACATGTGATATTAATTAATTATATTGTTTGTTAATTTCCACATTTTGTTAAATCACCTTTTTTAGGAATGGGAACAAATACGGATCTCTTTTAGTCAATCAGCCAGTCAGCTGTCCTCCAAATTACCTGGCATAGACTGATGAGAATGTCCAGTATTGTATCTGTTAGTTGAAAAATGTCAATCTATCTCATCTATTCCTGAAGCCTTATATTCTGCCAGTGTCTTCAGCGCAACTTAAACTTCTTCCTTTGTTACTGTTATTTTATTTTATTTTATACTGGTTTGCATAAAAAATTCATACACATTGTTTTTCACACCAGACCTTTCCCCTTTCCTTTACCAATCCCTCCCTCCACCCATCAAATTGTGCGATGCTATGTTTAAGCCCCTCCCCTTGGATCTTCATACACGCTCTACAATAATACTCTTACACAATATTTGTCTTTATGAGACTGAGTTAGTTTACCTAATGTAATGCTCTCCAGTTAGGTAGTAATTTACAACATCATTGTTACTGCATGCTGCATGGTAATCCATTGTGTGAATGTATCATAATTTCTCAGTCCATATGATTGTGGTTGGACAACTAGGCTATTTCCATGTTCTTGCAATGGTGAATAATGCTGCAATGCACATTGGTGTACAAGTCTCTGTTTGTGCCTCAGTTCCCATTTTCTCAGGATATATTCCAGGCAGTGGAATAGCTGGGTCATACGGAATTTCTATGTTCAGCTTTTTGAGGAAACATCAAACCACCATCCAGAGTGCTTGTACCATTTTACAATCCCACCAACAATGTGTAAGAGTTCCCATCTCTTCACATCCTCTCCAACATTTATTACTTGCTTCCCTGCTAAACTTTGCCACTGCTACTGGGGTAAGATGGTATTTCATTGTGGTTTTTATTTGTATCTCTATTCTTGTTCACGTGGTGCTTCCTTAAATTTTTAATGTTGACCGTTTTTTTTTGGTACAGTGACTGTGTATTCCTTCCATCTTCAGTTAATGCTTCCTAGGTCATTCAAGATTTTGCCCATGGCTGCTTCTTCGAAAAGCTGAACATAGAAACAAATTCCATGTGACCCAGCTATTCCACTACTTGTACTATACCTTGAGAAATTGAGAACTGAGGCACAAACTGAGATTTGTACACCAGTGTCCATAGCAGCATTATTCACCATCTCAAGAACATGGAAACAGCCAAAATGTCCAACCACAGATGCATGGTTTGAGAAATTATGATACATTCACACAATGGAATACTATGCAGATACAGAAGCAATGATTTTGTAAATTATTACCTAACTTGGGAGGGACTGGAGAGCATTATGCTGAGTGAACTAACTCAGTTCCACAAGGATAAATATTGTATAAAACCATTATTATAGAATGAATATAAGAATCCCAGAGGGGTGTGAGAGGGTGGAAGCAGAAGGATGAGGATGTGAAAGGGGGGATTAATCACAAGGTTGTACAATTTGATGGGTGAGGGAGTGAAGGAAATTGAAAGAATTTGTTCTTAAAACTAGTATATTCAAATTTTGTTGTTGTTGTTATTGATAAGTGCCATCGAGTCATAGATGAATCATAGTGACCCTATAAACTAAAGACCTGAACACTTGTATAATTTTATCTTTTCTCCAACCTCTTAGAGTTTCTAGAGGGAAGCTATTTTGGAAGTGGATGTGACTCCTGCTTCCAAGCTTGTTTTAATCAGAGAGCTCCACCAAACACTGTCCACCATGGATAACCATTATCACATTTGACACATCAGTGTCACAGTGTTTAGCATCACAGCAACCTCAAGTTACCTCTGTGCAGCAAATGGACAGACCAGGGCTATACCACTTAGAAGAATGTTTGACCAAAACAATTAAGACCAGGCCTGAGGGCTGCAGATTAAAATCACCCACCTTTGGCTTGGTAGCATACATAACTTGCTATCCACTAGGCCAACAGAGCTCTCTCATAGAAAATTAAAAAGAAACAAACAAGGCTTTATTTTTAAAAACGCCTTTTGCATCTTTCAATATTGCATCTCTGTCTCTGGGATAGTTATTGAGTCTGCAGTATGCTTTACTTTTGGAAAAGAAGGCTTATTTGGGTTTCCCCCCCAATATTTGAAGCTGCCTGCTGCTTTCTTGACATTGTGTGAAGTTTTTCTTGGTATGTGTTAGGCCGTTTCTATTGTGTCTGAGTAGATGACTGACAGTTCTTTATGATATTATTAATTTGTTGCAGACTTAAAGTGTTCCCTTTATGAAAGAGAGCAACTCACTATACCAAGGATCCTGTCATGTGGAGTAAGAAGGCTCATCTTTCCTAAAGTCCTTCCACTTCTCCCAGATTGTAGTGTAGCCCTGTGGTAATCTCACCTTAGTGCTGTCTGCTTCTTCTGAAGTTTGTCATTGTCTTTGGGGGTGCTGGTGCACAGGACACCCGAAGACCACCGTCTGCCTGGATACTTCACTCTGTAGATCTGGTGTGGGGCAGTGGGGGCGATGCCAGCACATACCTCTGTGTAGCTGCCCTCTCAGGTCCCCAATAGCCTACCAGTAGTCTCTCCTACCTGTGCTCACTTCTTCTAATGTTTGTCCAGAAACCTCACTTTTTTGTTTATTTTTGATCACTTTTCAAAGTGGTTGGATTTTTAAAGTTTTATCCATTTTAAAAAAATTTTGTATTTTATATTGGTATACTTACAAAGTTGATATACATTGTGTTCCACACTATCCTTCATTCATACTGTGTTTTACACTATCTTTTATTCATGTTGTGTTTCATACAATCATTCTCTTCATCCAATTTTTTCATTGCTTTTGAGAGAGATTTTTCAATCCTCTTCTTTATGCTTTAAGTTTTATATACATAAATGAATAAATGTATTTACTTATTTAGCATTTTTTTCTACAGTAAATATTATTTTACTCTTAAAGTAGGAATGAAATATTAATAAGGATAATTATTTTAAAGATTATTTTATAAAAGCAAATTAAACCTTCTATTCTAAGTTCTAGGTATATGTTTCATTTTAATTCTGAATAGAAACCTAACTTCTTCCTCTGTGCAGATGGGCTTATGTGTGGAATGTGGAAGCCTGGTGCCCATGAATACTCCCATCTGCGTGGTGTGTGATGCTCCTCTCACTCTGCAGCTACAACCACAGGCCAGCCTCCATTTGAAGGTAAAGAAACAGAATTCTGTCAAAGCACAGAGAGTAATTAGAATAATTCAATGTCTCTTTTTAGCTAGTGACCTTTGATAAACCAGTGTCTGTGAATAAAATCCACTCTAATTTTTTGGAAAGGCATGAGTTTACCTTTCCAATAGAGATATATAGAATTATATTTCCTGAACATGGATTTGGTAACTAAATTAAGAGAGAAAAAGAAAGAGAGGGAGGGAGAGGGAAAGGTAGAGACTCTGTGTGTGGGTGTGTGGGTGGTGTATCCTAGTGGATAAGGAGTCTTGCTGCCAACCCAAAGGTTGGTTCTTTGAATCTACCAACTTCTCCCATGTCACTGACAGCCTCTGAAAATCCACTGTAAGGTCAGCTATGTATGTCCAATTTTCTTTAAGCTATAGATCTCTTTACTTCATATACTTTAACTTGAACATTACAATAAATACTGGCTTATAATCTTGTCCTGAAAGTCGCTTCACATTTCTCTTTGCTTTATTTGATTATGAGTACCTATTACAGGTTGAGTTGGTCAGGCTTACCATCTTGTAATACTTAAATTCAATGGGTTTGTAGGCAGAAAAAGGGAGACTCATTACCAGCAAAAAAGAAAAAGTAGAGCATGTAACTCTTTGGATTTATAGAGATTTCTTCAGAGCCACAGAAATTCCTGCGCCAGTCAGACAGTCTGGGACAAAGACTGTGGTCAGAAATACAAGAACAGTGCTCAGGAACATAGATAGTGTCAGCCTTTTCTACAGACTCTTCTCAGTCCTAAGAAAGTTCAGAAGGCCAACCATCTGGAAGCCTATTCAAGGCTTCTTGTACATGAAGGAGAGAAAAGACTTTCTCTCTTGTCTAATCCACCATTATTTTACATATTCTAGTAATCACAGCAAATCCTATGCAATATAGTTGTCCAAGATATTTGAAGGTCATATCATTCCAAACTCATTGTACTGTTCAAAGCAGGAAAAATAGGAGCAAATGTTAGTTGAGGGTGAAGTTTCCTATATAGCATGTCAACTTCTGTTTTTGAAATCCAGACATTTTCCCATTTCACAGTAAGGCAGGAAAGTACAAAAATAAAGAAGTCATTGTTTTCCTTTTAAATTGAATATCTTATATTGAGGTTAAATAGAAGACTTCTCTGGTGATTGGTAGGAACCTCGTGATACATCTGTTAAGCCCTCTGTTTCTAACTAAAAGGTTAGCACAAACCCGCCCACAACCCCAGTGACTACACAGGTTTTATCACATGACTAAGTTGGATCCACTGTTGGAGTTCTGATGGCTTTGTAGTAAAGAGCAGCACTGTAGGAGAGTCGAATCCACCAAATGCCCTGGGAGAGAATGATGGACAGTCTCCTTTCAGGCAGCCTTAGAAAACCCACTGGAGAATCAACTATGAGTCTGTTCAAACTTTACATCACATAACAAAGCCAACTTATTAGAAAATGTCACTAGATAATACATTTCAAATGCTATGAATGAGATAACAAAAGAAGATGTGGAATTTTTTTTTTAACAACAAAAAATCCTCTTTTAGATCATTTTGACAGTGGCCTGGGTTCCGAATTCTCTTCTAAGTGACTGTGAGCAGATAGGAACCTATTAGAAGATCATAAAGACCCCAGATGAGATGGATTGATGCAGTAACTGGCGCAATGTGGCTTGGTGTGTGGAAATCAGCAAGACTAGCTCAGGACAGGGTGGGCTTCAGAGCTGCTATACATAGGGTTATTATGGGTCACAGGTGAATCAATGACACATAACAACAACAATTATAACCTTTACATTTATTTCATGACCCTTTTATAAGATTTTGGAGAAGCTCAAAATTATCAGTCATAACAAGGATCATCCTTTACTTATATGTAAGTTCAAAGTGAACTGAAGAAAAATTAAATCTGTGAAGCCAAAATACAACCTTGAGTACATCCAATCTGAATTTTAAAACCGTCTCAAGAATATCTATGTGAAAAAAAAGAATATCTATGTGATACACTGAATACTAACAGTCAGAAACCAGAAAAGTTTTGTATTGATACCAAAGACATTATACATGAAGAAAGACAAATATCATTAAAAGTGCAGCAAAGGAAAAAAAGCTAAAGTCAACATCAGAGAAACTCTGAAATTTGCTCTGGATCTATAGAAGCTGAATTGAATGGCAGAATAAGAAATAAGAAAGGGAGCTGAACAGAAGATTCTACAGGGCAGTGTGTGTGTGGTTTTATTTTGGGGGTGGTTTTTTATTTTATACTTTATTTTCTATTTTAAAGTTCATTTACATTATTTTTCACATCATATCTTTCCCATTTCCTTCTGAAGGGCACTTTGAGAAGACAAAGCTAAGTATTAATGAAAACATGTAAAGATGTGGAGTTAGAAAACAAAAAGGACAGAGCATACTCCCCATTTCTCAAGCAGAAAACTAAAAATGTTTAAGCCTAAAAATACAATAGTAAAAATTCAATTGGTAGAATGGTACAGGAAGTGCCAAAGAAGATGCAAGAAATGCACAAATTCACTTGGACCAAAAAAGAATGATCTGAGGCTCAATCATTTCAGGAGTCTGCATATGATCAAGAACCAAAGGTACTGAAAGAAGTCCTTCTATTAAAGGAATGAGGTATTTATCAAAAATAAGGCTCCAGGAATCAATGGAACACCAGCCAACGTCCTTTAAAAAAAATGTATGTGACACTTAGATACATTCACTAGTCTATGCCAAGAAATTTTTAAGATGGCTGTCTTGTTACTGACTGGAAAATACCTATATTTGATCCATTCCAAAGAACACTGATACAACAAAATGTGGAAATCACCAAGCAGTATTATCAATATCACACACAAGGAAAACTTTTTGTTGTTATTGTTGTTGTTATGTTCCATCGAGTCGCTTGTGACTCATAGCAACTCATAGTAACCTGAAGATTATTTAAAACCATTAGAGCAATATTCTGATGGGGAACAGTCACAGATTGAAATTGGATTCAGAAGAGGCCATCAAACAAGGGATATAAGTGCTAATGACAGATACATCTTCGCTGAAAGTGGAAATATTTACCTGTGTTTTAATGACTGTGCACTGGCATTCAGCAGTGCAGATCATAACTAATTGTGGATAACACTGAGAAGAATAAGAATTCCAGAACCCTTGATTGTGTTTATAGACCATAAAATAATCAATCTGACAAGAACAGGACACTGCATGGTTTAAAATCAGGAAAATATGTGTCTTTTCACCATATTTATTCAGTCTATATACTGAGAAAATAATCCAAGAACTTGGACTCTATGAAAAAGAATGTGACATCAGAATTGGAGAAGATTTAACCTACACTATGCAAATGATACAACTTTGCTTGATGATAATGAAGAAATCTTGAAGCAGTTACTGATCAATGTCATAAACTATTGTTTTCCGTGTGGATTGCATTTCTCCATAAAGCAAACAAAAATCCTCACAACATACCAGTTATCAAAATCACAACAAAGGGGGGAAATGATAAAAGTTGTCAAGGACATGGAAACCCTGTACAACCCAGCTATTCCACCACTAGGAATATACCCTGAGAAAAATGAGAAATGAGGCACAAACGGAGATTTGTACATCAATGTTCATAGCAGCATTATTAACCAATGCAAAAACAGGGAAATAGCCCAGGTGTCCTACCACAACCAAATGGATCGAGAAAGTGTGGTACATTCACACAGTGGAATACTATGCAGCACTAAGGAACAATGAACTTGAAAAATATTATGTAACTTGGGAAAGGCTAGAGAGCATTATGCTGAGTGAACTAACTCAGTCTCATAAGGACTAATATTGCATAAAACCATTATTGTAAAAATAGAAGGATAAAACATAGAGAAAATAAGATAAACAATAGAAGGTAAAACATGTATGGGGACTAAGGGGGTGAGGATAGGTAGGGGTGAAACCACATGGTTGCACCGTTTGAAGGGGTCGGGGGAGGAAGGAAATCGAAGGATCCAGGCCAAAAGACAGGGTATTAATGGACAAGGTCCAATGGTGATTAATTTTATAAAACATAACGCATGGGAATGATTGTATGAAATAAAATGTGAATGAAGAATAGTGTGAAATACAATATTTATTAATTTTGTAAGCAAGCCAATTTTTAAAAAATTGTCAAGCATTTCTTTATACTTGAATCCACAATGAACACCCATCAAAACAGCAGTCAGTAAATCAAATTACTTAGTGCATTGGGCAAATCTGCTATGAAGGGTCTTTTTAAAAGAAACCTGAAGTTTCATCTGACATACTTTAGACATGTTGCAAGGAGGGACCAGTGCTTGGAGAGGGACGTTGTGCTTGGGAGGGTGGAGGGACAGCGCAGGAGAGGAAGACCCTCAATGAGATGGATTGATTCAGTGACTGGAGTAATGGGGGTTTTTTGTTGTTGTTATGTGCCGTCGAGTCGCCTGCGACTCATAGCGACCCTATGTACAACAGCCCTAAACTCCGCTCTGTCCTGTGCCAATCGCACTGTCTCCGACACTCCCATCCCAATTATTCCAGTCACTGAATCAATCCACCTCATAGAGGGCCTTCCTCTCCTGCGCCGTCCCTCCACCTTCCCAAGCATGATGTCCCTCTCTAAGGACCGATCTCTCCTCACAACATGTCCAGAGTATGTTAGACGGAGCCTTAGAATCCTTGCCTCCAAGGGGCCACCCGGTTTAACCCTTTCCAGGACAAATCTGTTTTCCTAGCAGTCCATGGTATTCTCAATACTCTTCTCTACCACCAAAGCTCAAAGGCATCAATTCTCCTTCTATCCTCCCTGGTCATTCTCCAACTCTGATGCATAACAAGTGATTGCGAAGACCATGGCCTGTATCAGACGCACCTTAGTCTCCAGAGAGACACCATTGCTCTTGAGTACTTTGGAGAGGTCCCTAACAGCAGACTTTCCCATGGCAATGCGCCTTTTAATTTCCTGGCTGCTGGTGCCAAGACTGTTGAC